ACTAAGAGTTGGGATGAGAGGTGTCCCTTCACCTGAAGGACTGAGTGGGGCTTCAGCAGGGCACTTGAAGAGCCTGACTCATGTTCTCTGAGATTTGGGGGGCACCATGGATGGATGTGCAATCCCTGTCTGGAAAATGTGCAGGGCCAGAAGCTGGTTGCCCACGGCTTTCAGCACAGAGCAGAGCAGAGGTGGGGCTGGGATCCTGCCCCAGGGTGATGCCAGGGCAGAGTGAGCTGAGTTTTAAAGCGTGGGCAGAGTTAAGAAAACTCTAGAAGATTAGGGAAGGCATTCTAGGCAGGAGAAGCAGAGCCCAAGCGCAGAGACTCTAGTAGAAATGGCACATTCCAGCCTCAGGGGCGCCAGCAGCCTGGCTGAAGCACAGAGGGGTCTTGCTAGCAACTGTGAGAGGCGATGGAGAAGGCACATGGGACAGTCAGAGTCCTGCCTCCCCCACGGCTCTCCCTCCTGCTCCGTCTCCTGTGCCAGCTTGCCCAGGGCCACTTCATCTCTCTGCATCCACTAACCTCTCTAGGTTTTAATGCCCCCTATGCTGTGACAGCTCCCATTCATACTCCATCCCCAGACTCCTCCTCCTTTAGCACCGCCTCCTTCACATCTCCACTTGGATGTCCAATCAACTCCTCAAACCCAACACATCCAACTCTGAGCTCGTGATTTCTTCCCTCAAAACCCATTCTCCTGTTTTCCTCATCTCTGTGAATAACAACAACATCCTCCCAGCCAGGAGTCAGGGGGCCGTCTGTGAGTCTCCTCTGTCCACAGCCAATTTATCACCACATCCGGTTGACTCTCCTTCCAGGAGTCACTTATCTCCAGCCATTCCTTGCCATCCCCAAGTCATACACCCGTCCCCCCAGGCAAACAGCCACTATCATCTCTTGTCTAGACAACTGGCCTCCAGCTACCACCTTTGTCCTCTACTCCCAATGGTTTATTCTTGACACAGTAGCCAGAGTGATTTTCTGAAAATATAGATCAAATCATATCACTCTACGGTTTAAACCTTCCCATTGCTTCCCACAGCATCTAGAATTAAAGTAGCTCTTTACTCTGGCCTAGAAGGCCCTGTGTCTGGTTTCTTCCCATGCTCCAGGCTCATCATGTGTCCTTGCCGTGGCACACCTCTCCTGACTTGGGGTTTTTGGACATGCTGGTCTTTCCTTCTGAAATGGTCTTGCTCAGGTCTCATCCTTCCAGGCTCAGCTTCAATCTCTCCTTCCTGGGGACAACTTGGCCGATCCCTGCCTGCCTCCTTCCATGGAGATTTCTTGCCTCCACCCCTACCCTTTAGCCGTCATTACACCATTCAGTTTTCTTGATAGCACTTTGTATTTAACTTCTCATTACTTCATACGTTGATCCCATTGCTAGTCCTGAGAGCTGTCCTAGGTGCTGGAGACACAGCTAGGAACAACCCAGACCTGCTCTCTTATTCAGCCAACCTCTCGATCCAAGAGACAGAAACTGCATCTATTCCACTGTCCATGGGCCTGGCACAGAGAAGGGGTACAATAAATATTTGCCAAAGGAATTTGTTGTTTCATTAATGGATCTGTGTAGGGAGTAGGCTTGAACTGATTACACAGTGTCTTAGCTTGTAAAGTCTCATAGAAATGGAATATTTGCAAAACAAATAAACCAAATGGAATATACCAGGAGGCATTTTGGAGGCCAGAGCAAATCCTTTTTCAGAGCAAAGCATCCTTTTATAATGTAAATGATCCATCGCTTCCTCTGAGCTTTTTGTTGTTCTTGCACAGGCGCTCTCCTTGGGTTTGTGAACCCTCTAAAATTATATGCAAGATGTGTGGGCACGTGCATTCTGTGCACTTTTCTGAGGCGTTCATATCTTCCATTAGATACTTGAAGGGGTCTAGTGCTCCAAAACAGTCAGGTGACATGGCTCTGGCCTGTGCCTATTTTCCAGGACTGTTTGGATGGGTCCTTTCCAGGGTGAATCAATTGCATTGATAATTGTCTATTTTTAGAAAACAGCTCTTCATTAGCCACAAACTTCCATCTAGCCAGCATTTAATGAATTCACAGTTCCACACACTTGGTGAAAACCCTTACATGTAATGAAAGTACTTTCTATTACTCAGATGGAAAAATATTTTTTTCACGGTACTTCAAAGAGGCTGAAAGCAACAAGTCTCATAAAAATGTAAAAAGCTGGACACATTGCTCAAAAGCAGGAGAGCACTTGGAAATTTCCCCAGTAAAGAAAAAAGAACACTGTTTCAAAGCTGCCACTGGATCTCAGAGTAAACTTTCCTCAGCCTAAGATGAAGGATTTCTTCCGCCAAGATTAACATTGCAGAGGGAATTTTTAGAAGTCACAGCCTCTTAAGCAACATCCCTCAGGAAAACACCGAAGTTCCAGCTCTCTGCCTCTGGGAGTCAAATCCCGCCCCAACCTCCACTCTGGCAACAACTCAGGCGCCACAAACAGAGTCCTCCGCTCATTCCAGATGCCCACCTCCCCTTTGTCACCTGGGTCAATGAAGGGCATTTCCATCCCTTCCCTTGTGTCAAAGGCAACCTACCTTTCCGCCCTCATTCAGGGCCAATCTGACCCTACAGACGCTGCCTGCATTTTGCCTTCTAGAATCCCCCAGCCAAGCTGCCCAGTGAGGTGCTTCCTGGGGTATGGAAGGGTCCTTGTCCACAGATACCATGGACCCACTGAAGGGTGGAGGAAGAAGAAGCTGGGAGGAGGAGAGACAGCAAGGTATCACTGTGCTTAGGGCTATCCTCTCACTTCCCTGCTTTATGATCCTTGATAAGGTTTATACCATTTCAAAGAACTTTCTAAAGCTTTCTTTCTGTGTCTGTAGACTTTGAGGACTGACCGTCCTGACATCTCCCTGGCTTGGAGCCTAGGGCAGGTCTGAGTAAGCTGGGGCATTTTTTTTTGCAAGGTTACAGAAGCTTCTACTTTAGGAGTTTTTGGTTTTGTTTTTTCTCGTTTTCTATTGCGGAAATTTTCAAATGTAAGCAAAAGTAGAGCTAATAGAATGACAAACTTCTATATACCTCCCACCTAGCCTTGACAATTCCATTTCTGCCCATCCTAGTTCATATTTGCCCCACCCCCCCAAAAGGATTATTTTGAAGCAAATTCCAGAATTCAAAGTATTTCACCTATAAATATTCCCATAGGTATCTCTGAAAGATAAGGAATTTTTTATGTGACTATAACCACAACACAATGATCGTATCTAAAAAGTTTTGACGACAATTTCCTCAGATCATCAAACACGCAGTCAATATTTATCTTTCCCTGATTATTTCATAAATGGTTTTATTTCTATGGTGTGTTTTAGTCAGAATCCAGGTAAGAGCCACACTTTGCTACTGGTTGATAAAGCTCCTAAGTCTCTTTTAATGTATAACTTCCCTTCCAACTCTTATTTTTTCTTGTAATCCATTTGCTGAAGAATATGCTTCAGCTTTGGCATTCATTTCTTGCCATTGTCTCCGTTTCCCGTGAGATTCTGGGTTTTTTGTTGCCTTGTCTTTTCTGAGAGCCAGGTCAGGGATGGCGTTGGGAGTCCCACTGTGATGTCATCATTCATCTAATGCCCCTGTTTTGGAGAGCACACTCCTTCCTCAGCAGAGCCTGGGGCCTCAGTCCCCAGGACCCAATCTCTCCAGGGACCCTAACACCCCTGGCTGCCTGAACTGGGGCAGGAGGTGTGGTCGGGCCTGTTGATGTTCATCAGTCAAAGACCACCAGGAGCACAGCTGTAGTCACGCAAAGTTGGGTTTATTGTCTTGTTGCAGTGAGAGGCTGACATGAAGAGCTGTGCGTGTCTCTGTGAAGCTGGGTACCTGACGGTTCCCGGAAATATTCAATAAGAACATGATTACCTTGTTCCCAACACAGACACAGATGAAAAGAAGTTAATCTTGTCAATTTGCTGTTTTCCTGTTTAACCTGAGGGGTGACTCAAGGTCGCAAGGATTTATGAGCTTGTTTTACGGAAGAAAAAGAATGCCTTCTAAGAAGTCATGATCATCAGATAACCAGCCCCCAGCTGCCCTTGATGCCCAGACGACACATTGCCCAAGGGCTTATCTGGAGTGAAAGAAACATGGATTACGCCTTTGTTTCTCCAAAATTCCTCCTGCCTTAGGGCCAGCCTGGTGGCACAGCAGTTAAGTGCACGTTCTGATTGGGTGGCCCAGGGTTCGGTGGTTCGGATCCAGTGTGGACATGGTACCACTTGGCAAGCCATGCCATGGTAGGCATCCCATGTAAAAAGTGGAGGAAAATGGGCACGGATGTTAGCTCAGGGCCAGTCTTCCTCAGCAAAAAGAGGAGCATTGGCAGCAGATGTTAGCTCAGGGCTAATCTTCCTCAAACAAACAAAAAAACAAAACTCCTCCTGATGAGGATTTTAGGCTGGTTACTTTTAAAACTGCAGATGAGAAGGAGGCTCTGAGGACTTGAATTTGCTTGCCCTTTGATGAGAGACGTTTACATTTGTAAAGGAAGTCTCCATCTGTGGGGGGTGTCTCCCTCTCTGCACCAGGAGGAAGGGGGGATGGCCTTATCTCTGGAAACTCTTAATGGGGAAGGCAAGGACTTAAGTTGTTTACTGTCTGGCAACCTCACATAACTGACTCCCCCACCCCCAACATCCTCCTTTGTCTTTAGCTGAAGGTAATATTGAAGCAGTGGCTTCTGCCATTTACTTAATCCGGTTTGATTCTTATCTAAAAGTTATGGGACCACCCAATAACCAGAACCTACCGGCACTGATATCATTTTAACAACTTTTTTTGCATATTCTTTCCTTTATCTTGTAAAGACATAACTCACATACCTATGCCTTAAATTTAGCCGAACTCTCCACCCATGTTTGCAGCGGCAGCAGCAGCTCTGACTGCCCATGGGTCCTGTCCCAATGCCAGCAGTGGCAGCAGCAGCTCTGACTGCCCATGGGTCCTGTCCCCATGCTATTCCACACTATTCTCTAAATAAAAGAGCACTACTGCCAGACCTTGAGAGTCCAAGAAATCTTTCTTTCGACTCCTCAGCTCACTGACCCCGCATCACTCCTGCCAAGCCACTTAGCTCTATAAAAAACCCCTGCGTTTTTCTCTTATTAAGCCCTATTTGAGAGAACCTATCCTCCTGCCTTCCCATTTTGGCCAATTCTAATAAAACTTTCTCCATCTCCAAGCACCAGCGTCTTGGTGATTGGCTTACTGCGCAAGGGCACAGGACTTGAGACTAAGAGGTTGACATCACCTGGAAGAGTGTTAGGAAGAACTTAGAATAGGATTTGGACTTGAGTTAGGTGATTTGGAGGAGGGGTTAAGGAAGTGATGGTTTTCTCTGGATTAGGTGCTGTCTGGAAATGAGGAGTAATCCTCTGATGACAATAAATCTCATGAGGAGTAGGGAGGAATGAAGTGGGGTGAACTCTGTAATCAGTAAAGAAGCCTCAGTCACTTGTATGCACCAGAAAAGGGAGTGTCTGGGCCATTCCTCAGGTCCGGGCAGTGTTCTTGTTTTTCTTGATGCTCAGCCATGGTCGTGGAATGGTCTTGTTATCTTCATCTCTTGTGTCACAGAGCGTCCTTGTCTGATGTCGGTGTTGTATAAAACTGTCTTTGTTCAACAAGCGAATCTCACAGCCTAGGCTAGCTCTCAGCTCTCAAGCGCTATTTTTTCTTTCTCAGGTCTGTTAAAAAGAAGCTACAGGTACAAAATGGAGTCACTTATGCTAAGCCCCACCAAGACTTAATGCCTAACCTAATTGCAGTTTCAGCCTCTCCCAGGAGTGGAATTTTAAGCCAATCAGTCTGGAATTTCCTGATCAACACTAGTGAGGGAACCTGCTGATAAGACCCCCTGCCTTCCCCTAAGGGAGGGTGACCTTGCCTGAAATAATCCACTCTTTACCTCCTTTGTCCTACCCTCTTTCTGCTTATAAAAACCTTCTGTTTTGTACAGCTCCTGAGAGCTCCTTTCTACTTGCTAGATGGAATGCTGTCCAAGTCATGAATTGCTGAATAAAGCCCACAAGATCTTTAAATGTATGGATTGAGTTTTTGTTTTTCAACAGGTCCAAGCCGCGCCTGTGTTTTCAGCCCCCTGATGCCTCTGGTGCCTGCCCAGCTCTGGGCTCACATGGCTGCCTTCTCAGCTTGCCTCCCTGCCAGTCCTCAGCTTCCTCTGGTTTGCTAGGTCAGTGACCACTCAGAGATCTGATTTCCAAATTTTTGTTGCCTTCTCTCTCTGCTGTGGTTTCTTGGCCTAGCCTCTTTACTTTTGGGGGCTTATGCCTCTTATTGTTGTTATTGTTTTGTCCCTTTACTGTCGTTTAGAGGACTTCAGGGAGAGAGCAGTGGCAGTCCTGCCGAGCTTTCATCTGGGCCCGACTTATCAGAGAACTCCTCCTCAGTGAAGTTCTGTCCTTGGTGAGGGAATGCCTCGTACTTAGTCCAATAAATCTCCTCATTGATAAACGGGGGTGAAATATGTGGACCACAGGCTAAAACTGAGATCAAGAAGGTTCCAGTTCCCTTATTTAATAAGAATTGCATTTTTCCTGCAGGCACTCCACTTTATCATCCAATTCTGCACCGAGAGCTGTGTCATCATGGGGGAGTCTCATGGATTCATTTGTTTTTCAAAGTGGATTTCCCCTGGCTACGTAACTTTGTTTCCTTATATCTGGAGCAGTAGAAATATTTGCTTCTTAGAAACTGTCAAGGTAGCAAGCAGACACTTTAATAAGAACCATACTTCTCATCTGTGAGATCTGGCATTTTTAACTTGTTCGCTGGACCTCTACCTGTCTTCTTTAAGGCATAAATTATTAAAGGCCACAGGGGGAAATGTCCGTTTAATGCAATGACATGCTTATCCCATTCGTCTCAGCAACTTGGCTTCGCTCAGTTGTACCCTGTGGAGAAATAACGACAATATTATAAAAGAATCATAGCTAGGATGTGATTCCAGGGAGCCGAGAATGTCCCAGCACAGTTGTGATTACACATCCCTGGTAATGTGTTAAAGGTGGAGGAAACATCCTTGTTGCTATCGCTCAAGGAGGAAGTCAGCATTGGGGATGGAAAGTCTGATTCTGGTTCTGCAAATCCGCAAAGGTGTAATGGGGCTCGTGGCAGACTCAGGAGGGAAGTTGGGGAAGTGAGAGAGCTGCATGAAATGGTCTGCAGCGAAATCCATTTATAAGACCTTGTTAAAAACCTTTTTCTTCTATACAGAATCGTATTTTTAAAGAGCTGGATTTGCATGGAGGCTGGGATTTGTTACTGGAAGTGAATATAACCTGTAAATATAACATGAAGAGGGCAGGTTATTAGGAAGCAACCATTGTTATTAATAGTGAGTACAATGTTAGGATGAACTTTGTGTCACATACGGTGCACATTTCACGTTTCATTTTCACAACAGCCCCATTCAGCCAGTGAGGAGAGAAGGCCAGAGAAGCTGACAATGTTGCACAGTTAGAGAGCAATAAAGTCTCCATTCAAACTTGGGTCTGACTCAGCTCAGGGTCTCCTCCTCCAGGAAGCCTTCCCTGATCTCCACATGCCCTCCACTGTGGGACTTTGCATTGCCCCCTGGAATTTGCTATGCATCTGCCCCCCTTACTAGACCACAAGAGCAGACTGGGAACTCCTTCCTCATGTATTCCCAGTCCCTGCCCCAAACGGTCTCTGGATAAATTCCTCCAAAATGAACCCGAGGCCAAGCCACACCCCTTCCTTCTTTGGCCAGCCATTGCCACCGCTCTGTTCCTGTGTGGTTCTCTTGCTCATGCCCATGGGACCTGGCATGAGAATACTGTGAAAGGGGCCATCTCTTATAGATACAAATAAAGTATGAAGTAACCAGCCTTGGGGCTGAGTTTTTCTTAAAAAGGGGACAAAACAAGGGAGAAGGGGAAAGATGGAGAGAGGGCTGGTGGCCTGTGAGGACAACCCTCTGCGTAGAGACACATTTTGTAACTGAACAAAGGCAGGAAGGGTCCAAGAGGCTCATGGTAGAGACCCAAGCTCTGCAGTTGGAGTGAAGAGGACAGGACATGGGGCCACAGCCCCAGGACTGAGGAGGCTTAGAGCCATATCCATATCTGAATCTAAGATAAGAGGGAGAAAAAGCATTCGAAAGAAACAGTCTCCTGGGGTCTGGCAAGGAAGCCAGGTAGATTAGGCAGTGGGTCATGAGATCAGGCATTATAGGGAGGTACAGGCTCTGAGCTAGGACCACCTGGGTTAGGGTCCCACCTGTGCCACTTTCCAGCACGTGACCACCTTGGCCTAGTTATTAACTGTCTGTGCCTTACTTAAACCCTCTGCAGGGGCCGGCCCCATGGTCGAGTGGTTAAGTGGTTAAGTTCGTGCACTCCACCTCGGCAGCCCAGGGTTTTGTGAGTTCGAATCCTGGGCGCAGACATGGCACCACTCATCAAGCCATGTTGAGGCGCCACCCCACATGCCACAACTAGAAGGACCCACAACTAAAAATACACAACTATGTACCGGGGCGCTTTGGGAGAAAATGGAAAAATTAAAAAAAAAAATTACACAGTAGAATGAAGCAATAAAGGAAATGTCTATCTCTAAAAAAAAAAAGAAAGAAAGAAAAAACCCTCTGCAAAATGGGCGTGACCATAGGATGCATTTAACTGGTTGTTTTGAAGATTAAGGAGGTTGATCCCCATGAAGAATTCGGGTGAATCAACACGGCCAACGTGGGTTGGACACCTGGTCCGTGCCGGCACCGTGCTGAGTGCTGCGCGTGGGCTCACTCTCAGGATCCTCTCAGAACCCCGCTGAGGCCAGTACTTTCCTCAGCATCATCTCCATTTCACAGATGCAGAAACTAAGGCACACGCTGCCTACAATCTCCCAATATCACACAGCTAAGAAGCGGCAAGGCCAGGGTTTGAATCGGAACACGCGGGCGCCAGAACCCCTTTCCTAACCACTGTGCAAGGCCACCTCTCCCAAATACTCTTTCCGTGAGCGTCAAGGTAGCTGTTGTATTTGTTTGAATACAAGGTTGTTGTACTGAATTGTTGAATTGTTTCCCCAAGAAAGAGCTGTTGAAATCCTAACCCCTGGTACCCGTTTCTCTCACTTGGGTGGTCTTTGTTTTTTCCACACGTCTAAATTTATTCAGAATCTCTCACACATACGAGTGTTCAGGTAGCTGGTGACGAGACTCACCAAACGAACAGATCCTCTGTGACAGAGCCATGCACAGCCTCGGGTGATGAAAGCAAATCCAGTCAATGAAAACGCCATTTATACTAAAATAAATTCTTTTCTTTTAAGAAGAGTTGGTTAAATTCTTGCTCCACTGTTATCTTTGAAATGTTGTTTGCCTCCTCTCCCCTGTGCCCCACCCCCCTCCACCGTGGTCTCTCTCAGTGGGAAGGCGAAATAGTGAAGGTGAGGACAGATTCTCCTTGTCACTTCTATTTGACCGGGAAGCAAGAACTGGTTGGTGATGCAGAAACGGCAGGACCCAGTGGGCATGTCCCCCGGAGACGGCAAGATGGGGGTGCAGGACACACTGGGAGTGCCCCCTAGGTCTGAAGGGACACTTTGAGTCAGCGGTTGTAAGCCGTTGCTTAGCCAGAAACTTCTGCTTTGGCAAAGAAGTATTGAGCAGATAAAAGCTAGACATCTCTACCGCTACCAAAGACCATGTCTGAAAGTGGAACGGCAGGGTCCGGAACTCACAGCTGGACAGCATTTTTGTAAGAGAACAAAAGGACACCAACTGCCATACTACAGAGGTTAATTCTGAGTGAGGGGGATAACGAATGACCTCCGTTTTGTTTTAATTTTATTATGTTCTGTGTTCTTTTTTGCGCTTTCCATGTGTTCTGCAATAAACACCTATGACTTCTGGAATTAGAAAAGTTTTTTTTTAAGAATGTGAGTGTGGGGGTCGGGGGCAGAAGATGGTATATCTTGCAAGATGTCCTGAAGGTATGGCATAAATGTCACCATATAAAAGATCACTATTAAAAGGAAAGCTGTAAACTTTAAAATTTTATTATGAGAAAATATTTTGCAACTGATAAGAAACGTTGAAACCTTGGATAGCAAAGACCTTGTCAGCGATGCGCTGTTAGGAATCCTGGTGAGCACACTCCCCACTCAGAGCTCTTGACTGGCCGTTGCCTTTGCCCCAACACTTTGCCCCAACACTTTGCCCCCAGACTCCTGCCTGGCATCCTTCCTCACCTCCGTCTCGTCTCTGCTTCAGTGTTTATCAGACTACCCTGTGTGGAAAAGCAGATACCACACTCCATCACATGTGTGTCTATTGTCTTCTTCCCCTCACTAGAATGTCACCTCCGTGACAGCAGGGACTAGGTCTGTGTTCATTGCTGCACCCCTGGGGCTTGAAACAACAGATAAAATAGGCACTCATTTAGTATTTTTTAAATGAATGAATGAGTGAGTGAATGAATGAAAGACGTTATGGGGGATAGTACTTGTCATTTTCTGGCATTGGTTCAGGAGTCCCAGTCTCTATCTCCTCCTGGGTCCCCTGAGGATAACACGTATGCTGGACTCTCAAAACAAAGCAACAGCCTTAACCCCAGACTCCAGCATTTTCAGTCCCTGGTGAGTTCTTTTAGTCCCTGAGAAAAGGGTTGAGAGAAAGCAGACAGGGGGAACACAGACTGTGGCCCCTAAATGCCAACTCCCGCTGCAAGGAACCAGGATGCCTTAGAGAAATCGCTGACTCCAGGTCTGGGGCCAAAACTGTATCAGACGAGCCTGGGACATCTTGCCATGCCTAAAAATAAGAGGATCTCAAAGTAGAGTGATGACAAAAAAATAACCCAAGAGTCACTTGAAGGGACTCCCGTTGCCCAAAGATGGGACCATTTGAATAATGATAACAATGTTTGAAACACATCAAATATATTAAAATCTATGAGATCATACTGATACTCTAAAAAAAAAAAATACAAAACAAAATTAATTGACTGCCTTGGGCGGTTCCTAAGGCACAAATTTGTTATTCTGAAAACTGATAAAAGAAGGGAAAGAATCAAGCATTTATCCTGCTTTCTTCTACAGACTCTATTTCAAGATAACCAAATAAAGGAGTGTTTCTTTCTGTAGAAAGCCATTAAAGCTAATAAAGGAAGAAGCAATGAGATAATTAGAAAATCACCATTTTGCAAATCCCCAATGAAAAATAGATCTAGGTACACGTAGTAATAATTAACGGCTGCTAACCATTGAGTAAAAGTCAATGGAGGATATTACAATGAATAGATCAGGGTGAAAAACTAAACCCACCAATCAATGTTAGTGAGCATCTCTGAAAGTGGGCAACCAGATGTATGCGCCATGGGTGATGCAACAAGAAGCGCAAAGCACCACCTAGGAAGTAATTTTGGGAAAACAAAACAAAGCACAAAAGTCTGAATCTAGTCAAGCCTTTGACTCTATCTTCTAGGAAAAGGAACTATCAGTGACAGAGGAACAGATTATCAGACAGTCCCAGGAAGCAATAAGCCAAGTCCAAAAATGTGCAAAATTCTGCCAGACAAATGACTTAATTTCTTCAACAAACATACAGTTTAAAAAAAAGGAGAGGAGGGAACAGTTAGATCAAAGGAGACTTGAGACATCACAACCAAATGCTTATGTGCATCCTGATTTGAACAAAACAACTGAAAAAATACGTTTTTGAGATAATCAGGGAAAAGGGAACCTAAAACAGGTATTAGAAACTATTAGGAATTATTTATTTTGTTGAATGTGATGATATTATGGTTAGAAATTTTTAAGTCATTCCTTTTAAAGATACTTCTTGAAGTATTTTCATGTAAAATCACATGATATCTGGGATTTGCTTTAAAATACTCCAGCAAAAAGTGTAAGTGGGAGAACAGCTGAG